CCGGCCTCTGCCTCTGGGTCACGTGGCCTCCGCCCTGTGTGTCTGTGTCCAGGCTCCCCTCTGAGCATCGCCAGCGACCTCATCTTAGCCTGGTTACGTCTCTAACGGCCCCATTGCCAAATACGGCCACGGTCACAGGGGCTGGGCGGACGTGAACTTGGGGACATGATTCATCCCAGCTTGTGCGTGGTGAGTGCCTGACACCGTGGCTGTTACTGTTGCTGTTACTGTCACAGGTGGGGGAGGGATGGAGGAAACACGCAGCAGCTCACGTTTTATCTTGATGCTGCTCGTCGCTGGTTCGTGTCCAAGTCTGTTCTTGGCTGTGAAGGAAGAGGAGGGGGAGGATCGGTCTTTTTCTTCTGAGAAACGCGGGGAAGCCTGTGTTTGCTCAGGGCCCGCCGCCTGCACCCTGAGAAGCCGTGTGGACGGACTCCCGCTCTGTAGGTTCATTCTATACAATTGGAAAAATCTCAGTGGAGTTTGAGAGCGAGGAAGGGAGAGAGGAACATGGAGCAGTTGCCTTCCACACACACCCTGACCGGGATGGAACCCGCCACCCGGGTCTGTGCCCTGACCGGGCCTCGAACCCGCCACCTGTCGGTGTGTCAGATCCCTCCCAGCCCACGGAGCCACCCGAGAGGGCTCGTGCTACACAGATGTTCACCCATAAAATAAACAGCGGCTTTCTTTCTGACACGGACGCCTGGAAAATAAACACCTCTCACTGTCAGCCGGGGACGTTTCACCCGCGGGCACAGCGGCCGCTCCTGTCACCGGGGCGCGTGGGAGTGTGTGTCCCGGGTACGCGTCCTCCGTGTCTGCCTCCCCCTGTCTCTCCCGACAGAAACTCAGTGCCGTGTTTGACAGGCGCGGCGCCGTGTCATTAAACAGATGCCGGGATGGCTGTCACGGGTTTTAAATAGCACTTGTCATTCTCCTGGTGGCATGCTCGCTCTGCCTGCGAGGGCGGCGGTGGGGCCCGTCCCGCCCCAGCCCCGCCTCCTCCACTGGCTCTGGGCCGGGAGGGTTGGGGGAGTCCCCGGCCGCCTGCACGTGGGTTTGGTGGGTGATGGTCACGGGACCTTTCTCAGGAGCTGCGGCCGGAAGAACCGCTTTCAATAGCAAACGTTTGACCATTTGAGCCGGAGAAACTTGGGCTGAGCCCGAAGCACAGACATGGGGGGGAGGGGGTGAGCAGGTGGCTGAGCGGGGAGCTTCGGGGCCACCCAGAAATCTCCACATCTCGGCGAGGGCGCGAGGAAGCTGAGCTGAGCGCAGGCCCGCCCAGCGGACTTGGCTGGTAGATGTGGCTGTGACACAGCCGGGTGGGACGCCACACCTGGGTCACCGCGGGTCCACCCGGCGCGTCGGAGCCAGGCCGAGGGGCGGAGGCTGATGTCACTCAGGGGACAGGTCACCCGGAAGGTGATCAGCAGCTTTCCTGCGGTGACCACCTGGCCAGGCTTGTGAGTGCCGGGTCGCTGTATGGTGCACCTGGAACTGATATAATATTGTAAACCAGCTAGACTTAGACACACCTTTTTTTGTTGTTAATCCTCACCCAAGGATATTTTTCTCCATTGACTTTTAGAGAGAGAGTGCCCCCCCCCCCCCCCACCGCCGGCCACAGCGAGACGCCGCCCCTGGGGAATGGTAGGAACCAGGTGGTGTGTCCAGTGGCCAAAGGGGGTGAGTTCTGCTTCCCCCCAGCACCCCCTTTTCCAGGAGCTCCGGGTCCCTCCGCCCGGGAAGTGGGGGGGTGGAGAGAGAGAGAGAGAAAGAGAGAGAGAGAGAGAGAGAGAAACATTAGTGTGAGAGAGACACCTTGACTGGTTGCCTCCTGCATTTACCCTGACTGGGGCCGGGGATCAAACCTGCAACCGAGGTACATGCCTTCGACCAGAATGGACCCTGGGACCCTTCTGTCCGTGGGCTGGTGCTCTGACCACTGAGCAACCTGGCCAGGGCTAGACCGGAATAAATCTCAGAAAACGCGGAGGAGACCGGAGCAGGAGTCAGGAGCCGGGGGAGCGGGTGCTGGGTTCAGGCCGCGCCTTCCC